GATTTGTATTCTGATGATTTAACAGTGTTTTTGGTTATTTGATGCTATGCCTTTTCTATTACTAATTCACCGGCTGTTTCCTGAACCTTCCTCAGGGTGATGACCGGGCCAGCAATACACACGTTGGTGATCAAAGAATTCTGCGTGAATACGAGGAAGACCTCATGGATTATGATGACCTTGATGAAGATTTGATGGCAACCATGATGGATAACCCAACATCTGCAGGATTCAGATTGAGAATTGAATCCAGCAGGGTATGAAACTAGCTAACAAAGGCCAAGAATTTGTAATGAGAGCAATTATTTTGGGCAATCGTTCCTCTTCTTTCACCTGTAGTAAACACTGATGTCACAACACAGCTTAAACTGAGCATTTGCTGTGGCTTGAATCTCTGTCACTCAGACTGTCTCATTTGGGGCGGCTTTTCTTGGTTCAAAGTCAAACCATTTAGTGGAAAACCAAAATGTATTTCCTGCTGTAACACAAAGGAAGTATGGTACTGGAAAGAAAGCATGCAGAATATTCCCACACTTTGTTTTATCATTTTGATTTCAGGAAACCAGCTTCTGTCAGCCAATTCTTAACATTTATGTCAATTAAACCAGCAGCAGAATCAAAGGCCCACGAAAACTTGAGTGTATTGCTGATACTGGGATACAGGAGCCAGACATAGCAGCATAAATACAGGGAGCTGGTCTGGAAACACTTGTGTGTCAGTATCAGAACTAAATTAGCAGCAATATAAAGCCAGCTAAAGTAATTTTGAGAATAAATCACCCTTTGTTGGTCTTTTCCATCAACCAGCTACAAACTACAGAGCTGGAATCCCGATCCCTCCTGTCACATTTCAGTATCATGATGAGAAAGATACAGGAGATTCCGGAATGGTCCAATGGGTAACTGAACTACCTGATACAGACTGCAAGATCCTAGATTTGAAACCCCAATTGGATGGTCTCAGCTGGGGTAGCGGTAGGGGCTTAGTACCCATAGAATTGGGAGAGAAAGAACATCAGCCAGGGGCTCAGCTCCTGGTCAGTATCTAATGACTCCTTGCTGTAAGTGTATTGTATGAATATTGTATGACATTAGGTTTAGACATGCTGGGTTTTCCTTCCTTTCCTTTCCTAGGCCAAACAGACTATTAACAATCTAGGCCAACATATGAAAAACCAGCCACTTGAGAGGATTGCCCAATGCCAGTGGATCTGTACTAAAGCAAGAGTTGGTGCCTTCAGTATTGATGGCTATTTGGCTATTTCAAAACTGAACTGATTGTGAGCCTATCCCTAGAATTATACCTTGGGTGAATTGTGTACAAATCCTTGACATATGATCAGAAATATCTTTCCTTGTAATTTTTTCCTCTGATAATCAATAGAAATTTAAAGTTTATATTCTAATATCTCAAGGCCTGAATGTTGGTTCATGACTGACTGCACACAGCTCCTGTTAACAGTGCCATTTCAAATCTGCTTTCCATCTCTCTTTGCAGAGTAACAGTTTGCCAGCAGGGTACATGCCGATGAATGGGATTGGTCCAAATGGCTCTCGACAGGTAGTTTTTTTTTTTTTTTTTTTTTTTTTTTCCAATGAACAGTGCCAAAAATATCATTGCTTGTTTATACAAGAAAACCAGTAAAAATGACAGCTCTTAAAAACAGTTAAGATCTTGCAGAATATTCTTAATTTTAGTATTTTAATGGGCAGGTCTGGATGATCCTTTGATCTCAAATTATTTGAATCTTCAGTACAATTATTATAATTATTAACTAGTGTAATGGATTTTTATTACTGCAAGCACTAAGCAATCATCTAATTGCAATTGTCTAATTTTTTTCAAGTAAATTCTATTTTTCTGTACTTCCTGGTGATCCTAGCAAAACATGAAAACTACGTAGTATTGAAAGAATTATCGACTTGAATCAAGGCACAAAATCAGATCATTACAAGACCATTAGAAGTGGGAGTATCAGTAGGCCCATGAGTCTGCTCTGCCATTTAATGAAATCATTGTTGATCTGATAATCCTCAAATCCAATTTCCTGCCTCATCCCCATAACCCCTGATTCCCTTACTGATTAAAAGTCTATCTCAGTCTTGAATACACTTAACATACCAGCCACAACAGCTTACTGCAGTAAAGATTTCCACAGATTCATAAAAATCCCTACAGTGCAGATAGAGGCCATTCAGCCCACTGAGTCTGAATGGACCCTCTGAACAGCATCCCTCAAGCCCTATAACCCTGCATTTACCATGGCTAATCCACCTAGCCTGCACATCCCTGGATACTACAGGGCAATTTAGCATGACCAATTCACCTGACCTGCATGTCTTTGGACTGTGAGAGGAAACACATGCAGACACAAGGAGAACATGCAAACTCCACACTGTCATGCAAGGCTGGAATTAAACCCAGGTCTCTGTCACTATGAGGCAGCTGTGCTAACCACTGTGCCACCGTGTCACACAATCTGGGAGAAGAAATTCCTCTACTGTCTTAAATGTCCTTTGAGATTATACCATCTGGTTCTGGGCTCTCCCACGAGGACAAAGAACTTCCTTTTCAAGCCCCACAAGAATCTTAGTGTTTCAATAAGGTCTCCTCTCATTCTTCTAAACTCTAATGAGTAAGAGCCCAACCTGCTCAACCTCTCCTCATAAGAAAATCTCTCCATGCCCAGAATCAACCAAGTGAACACTCTCTGAACTGCCTCAAAATCAAGTATATTTTAATTTGCATAATGGGACCAAAACTGTTCAAAGTATTCCAACTGTGGTCTAACTAGTGCTTTGTATAATTTTAGCAAATATAGTCCAACAGTCCATTATTACCTGATGAACTTGGATGGTAGTTCTGTAATTCATGCAAGAGGACCTCCTAAATTCCTCTATGCTGCAGCTTTCTGCAGTCTTTCCCAATTTAAATAACATTCAGCTCTTCTGTTCTTCCTGTCAAAGTGCATAACCTCTCATTTTCGCACATTATATTCCACCTGCCAAGTTTTTGCTCACTCACTTAACCTGACTACATCCCTCTCTAGACACTGTGTTGTCGTCACTACTTGCCTTCTCATCTATTTTTGTGTCAGCTGCAGACTTTGCAATAGTACATTCACTTCTGACATCCAAGTCATTAATATATATTTTAATTAATTGTGGCCCCAGCACTAATCCCTGTGACACACACAGGTTGCCATCCTGAAAATGTCCTCTTTATCTGTCTACTAATAGTTAGCCAATCCTATATACACACTAATATTCTACTCCCAACAGCATGGGCGCTTATCTTATTAAATAGCCTTATGTGCAGCACCTTATCAAATGTCTTTTGAAAATTCAAATATGTTACATCCACTGGTTCCCATTTACATATCCTGCTTGTTACCTCCTCAAAGAACTCCAATAAATTTGTCGGTGATGATTTCCCTTCATGAAGCCATGTTAATGCTGCTTGATTTTTGTTATGTTTTTCTAAATGCTGTACTGTTACATCCTTTATAATAAACTCTTAACATTTTCCCCATGTTAGACTTTCTCATGACAGGGCCCACTGTCCCTTGAGAATTCCTCTGCTTATTTGACTAAATCTGCTTTCCCTTTCCTGGGAGCAGAATCATAAGGCTCATATTTTATTGGGTGTAAATGCCGTTCTAGAGCATTAGGTGAAGAAGGGAGTTGGGTGCACTTCTACAGCTTTAGATGCAGACTAGGTTGTATGCGTGATGTTCTAAGAAATTGTCCTGAGTGTGTTAAAACTCCCTTGCATCTCAGTGAGTTCCATTTAGTGAAACTGTGTGAGCAGATTATTAATGGTTCAAAGAGAACTATATATGAGAGAGAAAAAAAAGTATGAGAGAAAGAATATTACCTTGAAAAGAAAAAGAGGGACTTGTATCACACCTTTTTTTTTTCAAAACAAAAGAGACCTATGATAGTCTGTGACTAGGTCTTCTTGGCCAGTATCCAATTCACTGTTTAGTAGCTGAAATTGAAGCTGGGAGAGAGCAACAATGAAATCCAGTAAGTGGAGAAAATCACCTGGGGCTCAAAGAGTAAGTAGTTAGCCCAACAGTAAAATTCTGCTTTAACCCATACCATATACAAGAGGAAGAGTGTATATTTTCTGAGATTCAGTGATGTGTAATAAAATGACCATTTTCAATTTTTAGGCTGGGATGAGGAATGGAGATCTGGGGTCAAAGCGCTCCCTAAGGATACGGAATGAGTCTACAACTCGAACTATCTCAGAGTCCTCAGAAGGACGAGGTACGGCATCTTCACTTGATCTATATGAAGACATATCTTTGAACGGAACACTCCAGCTCCGAGGCCACCGCTCAAGGGACAGTAGTGCACGTTTCTCCAATGGCACAAACATAATAATTTCCCCTTCTGATGAAGCAGAGGTGGACATTAATGGTTATGTGATGCCAGAACAAAGAAACTCTACGGCTGGTAAGTATCAAACGTACAATCGTTGAGAATAATGGTTGCATTCAACCCACAAAAGTAAACAGAGTGCTGTTTTCAAGAATACTGAAAACACTAAGACTTGTTCTATTAAAAGAATAACTAAATAGCCCCATTGAATTTGGTGTAATTTGTGTGTGTATCAGCTGGAATTGGTAGTAGATTTTCTCACCTAAGTCAGTCGTTTGTGTGTTTTAAAGCCACACCAGGACCAGAGCGCACAACGTAAGCTGACAATCTAATGCAGTACGAAGGGAGTATTGCATGGTCAGTCGTGCAAATTTAAGATGAACTATTAAATTAAAGCCTCACCTACTTAATCCAGTGGAAATTAATAATCCTACAACACTATTTCAAAGAGCAGCAAGTTTGTTTAGTGTCTTGACCAATATTCCTCCTGCGAGCAAGACCACTAGTAGCAGGTTAACTTGTCATTTGTCTAATTCTCCGATTTTTGAGATTATGCTGTGCACAACCGGCTGTTGTAGTTGCCTAAATAACTAGTGTGGCTGTAATTTATAAGTAATTCCTGGGTTGTAAAGTGCTTTGAAGATGGGATGAGATGCAAGCTCATTCTTTCATTTAATTGTAAATAAAATTAAATCTAAACTTAAAAGATTAAATAAAAATCTTTTTCTCACAGTAGTTAGGATCTAGAATGCACTGCCTGGAGGTAAGGTGGAAATTGGTTCAGTTGAGGTATTCAAGAGGGCATTGGAATAGGAATGATGTGCAGGGTTATGGGAAAAGGCAAGAGATTGGCACTAAGCTAAAATGCTGAGAGAGCCAATGCAAACATGATGGGTAATGACTGGGTGTGATGCCTCTCCAGTAGGATAGCCATAATCCAAGGAACTGAATGCCAGTATAAGCTAAAGCCTTACAGTAGTGAAGCATTGTAAAACATGTCTTAGCATCTGTTTATTTTTCTTGTATTTCATGCGTTTTCCTGTTGTGTTTCTAGAGAGTCTGATGAAACCTGCCAATGAAGTCGATCCCTTGTTTAATAAAGTCAGCGATGTGAATAATACCCAGTCACTTGAGAGTCAAAAAGAATCTGACTCGAAACCAAGTGATCATCAGGAATATGAGTACATGAACAAACGGGCCTACCTCAACAGCTGTGTGAGTGTCGTGCAGAACCCTGAATATCTGGATGACAGTACTGTCTTTGTTACTGAGGGTGACATTCATGCCTTTGATAATCCAGACTACTGGCACAGCAGTCTCCCAGCAAAGTCAGAAATAAGGAGGACATAAAGAACCAGCTTCAGGATCCTATTTAGGGAGCTACATTACAGCAAGCAAAATAAGTTGATTTCTGAACTTTGAAATGTAGGTTGTGGGGGAGTGGGAACAGAAAAGAGAATACTAAATCCGAGATCTCTGAATCAGAAGTGTTTACATTGTAACTAAAGAGAAAGACTGTTTTACTTATTTTCCTTGTGTGTAATGCTATCCAGTTTGGATCCTTGTATGATGTACAGTGATGCTGAACCATACACCTACCATTATGTCAGTTTTTTCTCTCTTTCTCTCACATGCACTAGTGAATGTCCAGGAATAATGTTGCTGTGTTTTAGTCATGGGATGAGAGAGCTGTGTTTAAACCGGATACTTGCCAAATATGTAAATGTTCAATGCATCTTGTTGCATGTCTTCATGGAACATGGAGTAAACTCACCAAACAGCCCCTTTAGTTACAGGAACTTCCTATCTCTTGCCATTGATGTGCAGTGGAGGGAAGGGATGCTTTTGTGCCTTGTCCGTTTAGTCAAAATTCTTTTGTGCTGTTGATCCATAACAAAATGCAGAAGACCACTCCAGATTTCTCCAGTGGAAGAGCTCCAGTTCTCGCTGTTTGTCTAGTCATGGTGCTGTAGCCTGCAGTTCAAAGAGTTTTTGCAACTAAACAATATGGGACTTTGGCGAGGAGGCTGACCAAGCAAAGTAGAATGGCATTGAACCACAGATTCCAATGGTATATTGTTCATTATTCCACTGAAGAACCACCACTGATCACTATGTTAATATATGACAGCATTATTGGAGCAGAAAAGATATTATCGATTCCAACAGCATATTCAAGTGAATGGAAAGAAGTATAATTTCCTCCCCATCACAAGATTTGCCCTCTTGTGGGAAAAATGAAGATTGTGAGGCTCAAACTGGAAAAAAAAAACTCTGCAAGACCCATTAAGTGAAGCCATTGACTGGCCTGTGCTGAGCTACAACAATTTGGCTTTCTTTTTCAAGAAAGCCACAGGGTTGTGATTAGATGTTAATGCTTGGGAATCTGCCACCAATTTTATTTTTCTGGAATTATTTTTTCAAATGTTTGTTATGTTTTAAAGTGCTCAGATCTGAAATGGATTTTTTTCTCCATGTTTTTTGATTATCACTCCAAGGCAGAGGCCTTATATGCAGTTTGAGAAGGTAGGGGACATTAGGGATAATTCTGTAATTTGGAGGGAGAATGTAAAATATGTTGAAAATTATGCTGAAGGGCAAGGTGGAAACAGACCTTTCCTTCTCAATTCCACCCTCAACCTAACGGCTGTAATCAAATTATCAGTCAGGAAGGGAAGGTTTGATTATATTCTTAGTGGAGCAGCATGGTCTTTCAGTTAGCCATACATGTTATGACAAGAAACTGGGAGCATATCACGTTTTCAAGGAAGTTTCAGAATGACTTCATAATTAAAATAATCACATTTTTAACATTTCAAATTTAAAGGCAGTAAAAGTGAATGGAGATGTGGGCTCAGACTGATTTTCGATGCTGTGGAACAAACTGGTCCCTTTGCCAAATTTGGTAAGAATTTTGGTGGTTTCACTATTGAGCCAAGAATTAGCCTTAGACTGGCTACAAAACAAAACTCTAGGATTAAAGGGTCATTTAGATAGTACTGTATGTCATATCATTCTGTCATGAGAAATCCAAATCTGGATCTTTAACAGCTCATTTTGTTCTCAAGATTTTAAGAGGTGTTTTTGATGAATGTGATTCTACAGTTCTTGTTGAATTCCATAATTGTTTAATAAGTAATAAGAAATCTTATTTGTTCCTCAAATGTATAGTATCCTCCATTTGAGCAGTGTGTTTCTGAGCACCTATTAGTTAAGTCATTATTATATGGAGTGGCTTCACTGCTTTTAACTACTCCCCAACCAAACATCCTCTATGATTGTATCTGATTATCATACACAGTAGCGAGAGAAATTCTACATTTTTGTGTGTATATAAATGTAAAGCTGGGATACTTGAAGATAACGATGTGTGATCAGTGTTTTAAAGAGTAACCCTGATAGGGACTACAGATCACAAGCCATTGATCTCGGAACCTGTTATGAATATTTGTAGATTTTCATGAATTAAGTTCTATACTGTATGTTCTTTACTTGCCTTTAACAAGTAAAGCAGCAGTGACAAGTATACGAGCCAATTTGTCTCAGACTCCTTTGGGTGTTATTTGAAAGGGAAAGACTACAACCAATTCATTGGTCTGGTCTGATCAGTTGCAATTTTTAAATTTAGCACCTATCAAGATGTCTTACATAATCAAATTTTATATCTATTTTCCCTTTCATTCAAGTTGTGGTGTGCAACAACACAAAAATGACCATTCTTCATGTGTGAGAAAAGGTCTGATTATTGAAGGATAATTCTACACAGATCACACTAATCCCATCCTCACCTAGAGTGTCTTCCTTGTGCAGGTACCAGCAAGGCATTGTTGGGGAGGGATCACTGGATTGCAATAAGCGGCGAGAAACTTGCACGTTTTTTATCCACTATCTAGCCCAGAGATCAGCTAATTTGGTACTTTTTCTCTTGTGGACTGCATTGACAATGTACCAACAGAAGGTGCCTTTTTCCACCAAACTGTTGAGGGAGCTAAATGATTTTGTGTTCATCTTTTCTCCTCCCTATTCTGTCCTGACAGTGCTGACTGTTGATTAGGAGACAGCTTCACCAAGAGCTTGCAACTTTCAGCACTTTGTTCAAATGTCCCTCCTTGTGTGATGTTGATAATAAGTGGGCACAAGAAGAAATCAACCAGACTTTCCATTCCTAATCACTATCTAGTGCCTTCTACTGGAAAGTGTGTGTGCGTGTGTTAATTCCAGATACGAACAAAACTAAGGTCAGCTTTAATTACTTGTACTATCTGGACTCTCAAAAGGAAAAATAGCTGCTCGAGTCTAATACTGAAGGGTAGATCCTAGGACTGAGGACTGCCTTCAGGGAAGGAGGGGACAAAATGGTGATGGGCAAGAGATTTTTCCAAAAAAGAATGCCTTTGCTGCTCACAGTTTGTAACATGTTTGAAAGGGATGTTTCACGTCAAATTAACTCTGTGATTACTTAAAATCCACTATGCCTTGAAGTACATAAACCTGTTCCAATACAGTACCTACAGGACTGATTTATTTTCATTTTCTGAGACAACAATGCTTAATATATTAAGCAAATTGTAATGAAGAACAGCAGTCAAATAAACTTTTTAATTAATAGTCTATTTTTAAAAGATCTACCAACATTGAAGTGATTGTTTTTCAGAGTATGAGTTTGTGACCGATGAGTAGCTGAATTTTAAATTCAAAACTGACTGTAGTATGAAATGGGGGAGACAGTTAGATTATTTCTTCCTTGTTAATATTCATAAGGATAATTTCTTAATTTGTGTGCTTACTGCTGTTTTTATACAATTTTAAGGGACTGGTTGATAACGTGAGTGTTCCGTCCTTTTGTGAAAGTAAAATAAATATTTGTTTTGAAAAAAAACTGTACTAGTTTTCAGGGGTGACAAGTCTTAAGATCTATTTTGGTCAAGCATGTATGTTCTTTCCATGTATTATGTATATTCTTGCTAATCATCTTGTTTGACTCTGCAGGACAGAAGTGAATTGAACAGATTTAAAGTGGCATTAGAAACACAAGACCAGCACAGGTTTGGCAGGACAGTTTGCCATTGCGCTTTTCCTTTTCTCCTCTATGCCAGAAGGCCTTCTCTCTTTCACAATTATAAAGTTTAAAAGTATTAAATTTTAAGGAGAGGTTGCTTAAACTGGGAACACAAAGTGCTGGAAAGATTCAGCAAGCCAGGCAGCATCTGAGTTAAGAGCAACAATTTCAGTGCAATGTCCTTTTGTCAGATCTGAAATCTGATGGAGTTACAACAAGTTTTGAGCAAGTATAGAGGGAGGAAAGAATAAATACGTAGGTCTCTGAATGGGTTAAAATTATTTACAGCAAAACGCTCAAAAAAAAAAAATGGGAGCAGTGGTTATGATCTGAAATGATTCAACTTGATGTTGAGGCTGGAAGGTTATAAAGCATTAAATCAAACACCACAAATTGGGCTTCTTTTTTTCCCCTTTATTCATTCACGGGATGAGGGCATCGCTAGCTAGACAGCATTTATTGTTCATTCCTAATTGCCCAGAGGGCCTCCCTAAAGGAAGGAAAGGACATCAGTGGACCAGATGGGTTTTTTCTAACAATCGACAATCGATTCATGGTCATCATTAGACTCTTCATTCCAGATATTTATTGAATTCAAATTGCACCATCTGCCATGGCGGGATTCCAACCTGGATCCCCAGAACATTAGCTGGGTCTCTGGATTAACAGTCCAGCAATAATACCACTAGGCCATTGCCTCCCCTTCTATTCTGGAGTTTAGACAGTTGAAGAATGTTTATAATGGTAAAAGGATTCAGCAGAGCAGATGCAGGGAAAATATTTCTTTTGATGGAACAAAGGGGCACAATCTTAAAATTAGAGCCAAACAATTCCGAAGACTAATTGGGAAGCAATTCTTTGCAAATAGGGTAGTTGAAACCTTGAAAACACTGCTTTCCTCCTAAAGACTGTGGGTCCTGGGGAACAATTGAAATTTTCAAGAGCGAGATCACAAGTTTATTTTTGTTGAGGAAGGGTGTCTGGGAATGTGGATTAAAGGTGAGTAACTGGAAATGAGGAATAGATAAACCCTGATCAGAGATTGGACAAGGGGCAAAACAGCCTACAGCTGTTCCTTCCACTGTCCAGCAGCCATCCAATTTCCTGGCCACTGTTGGGCTGGCTGTAGCAATACTATTGATCAGAAGAATTTATCTGTCTACGTCAATGATGCAGTATTTACACTCGAACTTCTAATATTGATGGCAACAGCACAGTTTTACTGGAAACTTAAATCTACAATGCATACTGTGAAATTCCAAGGACAGATTATGCTAGGTATTTTTACAATTCTGGGTAAGTCTTCTTGAATTGCTGGCATTTCTGATTCAGGAAGTGAAATTCAAAGTAAAACTGTGCAATTTATTTAGTCCCTTCGTTTCAATAACCTTGAGGTTATACTGTGATTTCACAGTATTATAGCAGTCTACTTCCTGGGGCTGAGGAAATCGTTCCAGAAACAGTGAGCCTTCCAGAGGAAGGTCTTTGGCAGACAAATCCAAGAAAAATATTAACTGTAACACCTGGAACTCTTGCTGTGATCCCAGATGATGGTACTGGACAAGTTAGATCCTAGAGTGAAACCTGGCCTGATATACCTCACATTTTATGTTTCTTTTTGTTTACTGTGGTGGTTAATCACTGAATATATTCACAAGAGGTTGCCAGTGTACTTTTAACAAAAGAACACACAAGTTTATTACATAAAAAAAAACAAACTATTTAGTTTAGACAAGAACTACTGGAACAATTTCATTACAAACATTAGAAAAAAAGGTTCACACCTTTTATCCCAGCAATACAGACAGTTACCCCTATCTTACATGCTAAAGCTTCTTGCTCAGCTAGCATGGCTGTAATGGATTTCCTTTCACAAAATTGCTGTGCACTCAATGTTATTTTGTTCAATTGATGTGTTCCCCGAAGACTCCTCAAACAAACTGCTACTAAGCACACTTTTATACCTAGGGAGAACTAGACAAACATTTTGAGGGAGAAAGGAATAACAGTTACAGTGATTGATTTTAGATAAAGAAAAATAGAAGGAGGCTCAAGTAGAGCATGTACACCTGCATGGACTATGGAAAGGCCTGTTTCTGTGCTGTAGATCCTACACATGTGTACCAGGAAGATTCCAGGTTCTGGTTCTCCATTGATCTCAGTCAGAATAGATGTTGCTTAGAATAGGCCAAATCTTGGCAGTCATCTCCCTCAAAAGATACCATCAAACACCAGATTGGCTGTGTCAGCTCAGCCTTCTACAAACTGCAGCAGCGAATGTTTGGCAAGGGAGATCTCCACAAGTCCACAAAAGTTCTATGGTACATTAATAGTTGTTGTTGCCGCAGTCCTGTAGTGCAGTAAGGCAATACATACAAACGCTAGAGAAATTCCACCAGCCTCTGCTGCATGTTCAAGGAGAGTACCATTTATGAAATGCTAGCATCCCTCTTGAAGACAGCTCCACAAGTATTCAGCAAAGAATCCTGCAAAATCAACGATGATTGTGCACACTCAATGTCTAGATGTCCAAAATGCATCTTTCCTGCCAGGTTCTGTTTTCTCCACTCTCCAATGGATAGTACTCTAGGAGAGGAGGAAAAAAAAAATGACAAAAAACATTCTGAAGCTCCCC